TGGTCAGCGGTCACAGGGGGTGGTGAGTGGCTACCACTCTGCATAAAAATAAGATGCTTTGATCATTACCTCCAGTTCTAACGGGCAGTGCTGCCAAGGTGGTTGAAGCACTCTGAGGTCACCAAGCCCTCTCCTTTCAGATTTCTTCAAGCTTCCATTTTACTTAAATCATACTCCGGACGGGCACTCTCCACGTGTCATCTCCGTTTACTTTCCAGAGCTGCCCTGTGAGCCCAGGGGTTTCCCTGGTGGCTCAGCTGGTGAAGATCCACCTGCAATGCTGGAGACCCCGGTTCAACTCCTCGGTTGGGAAGATCCCCTGGAGAAGGGAAAGGCTACCCACTCCAGTATTCTTGGGCTTCCTGGGTGGCTCAGCTGGTAAGGAATCCACCTGCAGCGCGGGAGACGATCCCTGGGTTGGGAAGATCACTTGGAGGAGGGCCTGGCAATCCACTGCAGCCTTCTTGCCTGGAGAATCCCATGGACAGAGGAGCCTGGTGGGCGACAGTCCATGGGGTTGCAGACAGGAATGGAGCAACTAAGCAAAAAACCCAAATGATGTACGCACTCAACCTAGACAAGGCGTGCTGGTCTGCTTTAGTAATTAAGTACCTTCAGTAATTGAGTGGATGAGCTATCATCTCCTGAGGCCACGCTGGTTCTGACCTGTAACTTTCCCTCTCTCCCTCCTTGGATGATCCAGTCCCCAGGGGACCAGGGGAGATAAAGCCTGAGGCGCTGCACTGCTACCCCACCTTGTGGTGACCTTGGTTACTGCAGCACCCCCTCCGGGGCTGGGAAGGCTGGGCAGGTAAGAAGCACTCCCCACTTTGGGTACCAGGGCCTGAACGTGAGGGGGAAGTGTCAAGAGGAGCCTGAAAAGTGAGTCCAGGCCAGATGCCAACATGAGAAACCCAGGGGACATACTCAGAGGCAGAATGGGGAGAAAGAGCTAGGGAGAAAGAGAGGCAAATACGTGCTTTAGAATGTCAACGGACATTGATCCAAATGAATCTCAGAGCCAGGGGCAAGGCTGGGGCCTCAGTGCAGACAGATGTGGTCCTGACAGGCCCATTTAAGAGATTAGGATATTGAGGGGCTTGGGGGGGGGGGCAAGTAAATGTCACTAGGGATTTAGCACCAATCAAGGATGAGTTTTTCAGTGTTTTGCAATAAAATAAAATATTAGAGAAGTCTTTTTTTTCCCCATAAAACTAAATAACTACAATTACAAGATTAGTTTTTTCCTCTGTGGTTATGTCTTTGCGCTTTGAAATATATGTTTTAAAATTAAACGGCATTGATAGTATTGCTTGCTCCTTGGAAGAAAAGTTATGACCAACCTCGACAGCATATTCCAAGAAAGGTCTGTCTAGTCAAAGCTATGGTTTTGCCAATGGTCATGTATGGATATGAGAGCTGAACTACAAAGAAAGCTGAGTGCCGAAGAATTGATGCTTTTGAACTGTGATGTTGCAGAAGACTCTTGAGAGTCCCTTGGACTGCAAGGAGATACAACCAGTTCATTCTAAAGGAAATCAGTCCTGAATATTCATTGGAAAGACTGATGCTGAAGCTGAAACTCCAATACTTTGGCCACCTGATGTGAAGAACTGACTCATTTGAAAAGACCCTGATGCTGGGGAAAGATTGAAGGACGCCATAGGATGAGATGGTTGGATGGCATCACCAACTCAATGGACATGAGTTTGAGTAAACTCCGGGAGTTGGTGATGGACAGGGAGGCCTGGCGTGCTGCAGTCCATGGGGTCGCAAAGAGTCAGACACGACTGAGCAACTGAACTGACTGAACTGATAGTACTGATGGTTTGTTCATTTTCATATCCTTACTTAGTGAAATTAAATACTGGCCGCTTGCTCAAAAAGATGCAGGTGTGTGTGTGATTTATCACTGACTTGTGAAGGTCAAGTCTAGGAACCCCTGTGCTATGGGGAAGCTAGTGAGAAGCTAAGCCCATCTCTGTACCCCAAAGTTCCCCAACCTTCCAATTTACACTGAGTCCTAAGCCTTTTGAAAAATGACTTTTAATCAGCATGTCATATTTTACGAGGGAAGCTGAGGGTTTACAAGACAAAGAAATGCTGTGAGAATCAGGTGACAGATCAATTATTTTTTTCCTTTTCACTGTCCCACCCAATTACCGAAATTCCTCACACCTTTGTTCATCAGGGTTTCTCAGCTGTGCAAATCACAAACAGAGTAGATACAAAGAAAGTAAAAACTTAAAAAAAAAATAAAAAGGTTAAAAACAGCTGCCTCAGGCAATGCACAGCAGTCCAAGGCAGAAACAACACATCAAAACGCCGTCTCTGGAGCAAGCATCGCCCCTGAAGTGTCTGCAGCTTTGAAGCTGAAAGGAAAGATCTATGAATGTAACCCTGTTCCAGCCAGCTATGCAAAAGGAGATCTGCTAGTCATCTAACTGCTTTCGAGTCAAGCCCCTGTACTGGGAGATTCTGACTTACACCACGAACATCATCTGTTTTAAAGAGCTTACTTTACATGTTGCTGTGCAGACAACAAGCAGAGTAGCCGAGCATGCCAAGTGTTTTCTCTGCAAATCTATTCCACAACAAGCGGAGGGGGTGGGGCGTCTATGAATAATCCTTTTCCCTGTGAGTTGCAAGACAAAACTCAGCCATGCACTTTAAGAGCACTCGGCTCCCCTGGCTCCGCCTGCCACCTCACCACCTCACCTCGAGCCTCTCCTGGTTCAGCCTGAGGCTGTGGACGAGCCCTGGGCAGGCAGGTTGCTCCTGCTGACTGCAGGCCGCATGCAGGGAGGCAGTGCGTCCCGAGGACCCAGAGCTGAGCAGAGGCCCCCCCACGCCCCTCGCTCCGACACCAGGGCGTCAAGCGGCGTTTCCTAGGCAGATGGACCCAGTTTAATCGCTCGCCGCCACAGCTCTGCTGCTGGGCATTAGCTAAGGACGGCTGTGGCATTCACGGAGGGGGCACGTGTGGACCGGCAGCGAGAAAAACGGAGGCTGGGCTCCCAGATCTGCCACCCACCGGCTGGTCACCGTGGTCAAGGCGTTCCTACGCATTTCCTAAAGTCTGGGTTCTCTTGGAGAGAAAGGGTTTGGCGTGGTTTCTAGGAACAGCCTAGATCAAAGAAGAAAGTTGATGAAACAAGAGGAGAAAAGAAAGTTGTTTAGCTTCCCCAAGCCTCTGTCTTTGGAGAAAGGCGGCAGCGTTTGTCAGCAGCTAGTCAGTTCCATCCTGAGCCTGGGACGCGCTGCAGGGGTGCGATTCCACGGGCTCCTCACGACCAAGCTCTCCTGCACAGACTCTCACCTGCTGAGAACGCCCTCACTGAGCAAGTCTGAGGAGGCACATGGGATCTGAACACGCGACCAGGAAAGGGGGCATCATTATTAGATACCTATAAACAACAGCCGCTCACCTGCCCCAGCCCTTGGCACCTGCCTGAGACTCCACAGAAGCACACCCCGTCCCCACATGACCTCCTAACTCCATAGTTTTATGACTGCATGTGGCTGGCCATTGGTATTTTGCCTGGGAAATATTTATTATATTTATTATGAGAAGGACACTAATTCTTTTCTGAAGAAAACCCCCCCGTGAACACTGTATTCATAGGTAACAGCTGCTGTAGGCCAGGGTGGGGGTTGAGGGTCTCAGCAAGATGTGTGTTCAGCTGGTGGTCCCTCCCCACACAGCACCCTGTGAAATCGACTTCTGATTTTCACTTGCTCTTCTCCAGACCTCTTTTGCTCTTACCAGGCAAGAAAGTTCTTTTCTTAAAACAGAAGAAAACCTGGGAAGACATGCCTGCTCCGGATTCCCAGCTTGGTGACTATTTTAAGCTCTATAGGCAATTAGTTTCCAGACTCAACAATGCAATTCATAACATGAACTCACCGAGCTTTTGAAAGTCTACTCATGGGTCAAACAGAAAGAGGCCATCCTGGAACACACTGTCTTGACTCACCCTAGAATTGCTCTGATGGCCTTGTGTCCTGAGAACATGTCACTGGTCTCCGACAAAGAAGGTGAGGAAACCCATCCCGACATTTGCTGCCAGGATGTGATCCGATATTCATCACATTTATGGTGTTTTCCCTGCGAGGACCCTTGGAGAAAGTGTCCCCTGTATATTTTTCTTCAATGAACCCTCCTAAGTAGTCCATAAAGTAGGGCTTATTGTCATCATCATGAGCATTTGACAGTTGAGGAAAGTGAATAAGATTTAAGAAATTCCCTATAATCATTCAGTTAGTAAACGGTACAACCAGTATTCCAAATCAAAATTTTTTACAAATCCATAAACTTCATTTTCAAAAGTTGAACTGCATTTCTGAAACACCAGTCGTATCTCAGTGTCACTAACAGTATGTACTCTGAGGCAAGTAATTTCATTTCTTTGGTCTCACTGTGCTCATCCATTAAATAGGGAGACACAGCTGAACAAACTCAAAAGGACATTTGAGGTTGGATGTATGATGAGTTTTTCATCACTGCTCTCATCAGAAAAGTGGAATTCTTTCCTCTTCATCATCATTATAACCTTCATCACTAAAATCTATTGAGTACCTATTAATAGATTAAAATCTAACAAATAAAACAAACATGTACTATCACATCAGAGTTTGGTAAGTATCACGCAAAAAACAAATCCTGGAAAGGAGGTAGGGCACACTGGTGAGGTAATGAAAGCTGGTAAATTTTAATTAAAAGCAACCAATTTGAGACTGGCTTTCTTAATGTATCCGTTTACTGAGTTGATACTATTAGTTTAAACCCTTGGGAAATACATGAAAATTTTACTTACTTCTCATGCTGATTTTTGTCAATTCAAAACAATTCTGCATGAAATGCAGTAAGTTAATTTCCAAAAGAATGTAGTGAAGGGGGAAAAAAGGCAATGTAATAGCGTTTTGCTCTGGGAGATTGAACAGTAATGCACGATATGTATTGGACCACAGAGTGTACTCTTTAATGAAGGAAACCAGATAAAGGAGACATAACACATTTATTTTCAGATGCAGTCGACACGGACTGCTGCCTCCCCCTAATTTGTAGTGGAGCATACATCATCCTCTGTTGGATTGGATGTGACAAAACTGAGGGGAAACAAAATAGAAACCATCATTTGGTGTGAAAATTGGAATCAAGTTACATAGTCATCAAACAATTTGAAGTCCTAAGAAATTGTCTTTTTATGTATCTTGGTCACATATCATAATCTGAATAACTGGGATATTTGCATTATACTTTACTTATTTATTTGATGAATTAATTTATTGGAGAGTTATTCTTATATGTTTTCTCCAGTATATTTATTTTTAATTAATCTATGATATTATTAGAGTTTCCTGGCAGCTCAGCTGGTAAGGAATCCACCTGCAATGTGGGAAACCTGGGTTCGATCCCTGGGTTGGGAAGATCCCCTGGAGGAAGGAACAGCTGCTCACTGCAGTATTCTGGCCTGGAGAATTCCATGGACTGTATATTTATTTTGAATAAACCTATGATGTTATTAAAATGGATTTTTAACCATTAGTTGAACTGAAACACACTGAAGAAAGAAATCTAAAATTCGGCATATTTGTAAGACTTAACAGAAAATTATCAGTTATCTAGCTATCACAAGCTAGATTTTAAAGGTAGAGGGATAAAAAGAAATTAATTCATTTTGGCCCCATATCATATGGGAGTGAAATTAAAGTGAAATCATTAGAATTGTAGCGGCTTTTATTTTATTCTATTATTTTAATCTTTATTTTATTCTATTTCATGATTATTACTTTGAACAAGAACTGGCTATATATAGCACTTGGATTACATAAAGTCGCAAGAATGTGGGTGTCAGAATGACTAATCTTTAAACTGGAGTAGATGTGCATATGGAGAAAAGCAAAACAAAAAGTGAAGAGGTGGAGCAGAGAAAGCCTTTCATATGTTTACTTGTTTTCGGTTACTGAGCCAGATTACTACATTCAAGCTGTACTGATCATTAGTTCTGGATGCCATGCCTTCACTAAGGAAACCAACAATACTTCTTAAGTGATCTATATCATTAATAAATTCATTAAGATTCTGAAAGCTGGAAGTTTTAAAATTGTGTTCTGATAATGATTCTAGTAAACAGGAAATTTACTATGAAGTATTAACATTTCACAAAACTGCGCATTTCTTCCATCTCTAGCTTCTCATTAATGTATACACTGCATTATTCATAACATTGAATGACCTGATGAATCTATGATCTTATATACTTTACTAGTGCTTTAAACCAGGGGTACTGGTGGGTAAATAAAGCAAATAAAAGGAAAAGATGGCTTTTCTTTATTCATAGCAAAAATAAACCATAAAATTAGCCCTGAAGGAAATTCCCGATCTTCAAGCTCTAAATATCATTGTACACTACACATCTCTGTTCTATTTTAAAACATGTAACATATTTTTAGTATTAAACCTGAGAGGTACTTATCAAAATTTAATTATCATTTGCCAGTCAATAAAAAGGTGAATAAGAGATATACTTAGTCCATAAGGACATAAAGGCTAAGTAACATCCTTCTAGTTTTTCCAATTACATAATATTTCAGTAAATTGCATGTATGTTATGTGGTTGTGATGGTTTCTTAAAAGTACACAAGTATCTAACTAATCAAATTATATGCAAATTAACCAATGTTCTTGAACCTGATTTTCCTTCAGTATGATTTCAGGCTCAGTCTTTTGTTTTTGGATTGCACATTTTTTCTTTTAGATTTTACTTTACAGAGAGAAGAGAACTGTCACTTAGAAGACATTCAATTTAAAATGAGAGTCAAAAAAATGAATTTAGCCATACATATCAAGGTAACCATTGTTAATAGCTTAGGATTTCAGTGAGAGTAAGCCGTGGTTTTGTTCTTCAGGTCTAATGGTCTTATCAAAAGGCACTTCCCCAAAAGCCAAAGCGGAGCCTTATTCCAGCAGAGACTCATGGACACACATGCATGTACAGAACAATGCCACGGCCTTTCCGTGTGTCTCTATAAACGGACACACACGTATGCGTAGAACAATGCCACGGCCTTTCCGTGTGTCTCTATAAACGGACACACACGTATGTGTAGAACAATGCCACGGGCTTTCCGGGTGTCTCTAGATGGACACACAAGTACATATAGAACAATGCCACAGCCTTTTCATGTGTCCCTATAGGTGGACACACATGCATGCATAGAACAATGTCATGGCCTTTCCGGGTGTCTCTATAAACAGACACACACGTATGCGTAGAACAATGCCACGGGCTTTCCGGGTGTCTCTAGATGGACACACAGGTACATATAGAACAATGCCACAGCCTTTTCATGTGTCCCTATAGGTGGACACACAGGTACATATAGAACAATGCCACAGCCTTTTCACGTGTCCCTATGGGTGGACACACATGTATGTATAGAACAATGTCATGGCCTTTCCGGGTGTCCCTGTAGATTGTTTCAGGATTTTAACTTGGAAATTTCTCTTATTCATCTCTTCAATAAATATATGATCAAGTACCTACTTTGTATGAGGCATTGTGGTTGCCTAAAAATATAATGATGAGCAAGCTAGGCTAAATGGATTCAGTCATTGTTATCTAAGAAAAAAAAACATAAACAATTACATGATACCAAAATAGTTCAAATATATCAAGTACCCACCACATGCCTGGTGAAAGTGACTGATATGTATTAACTATTTTAATCATCACAATAATCCTACAAGGCATATTCACATGCCTTTTATGTATTAATAGATGGGAAACTTGAGGCACAGTAGATTGAAGTGACTTGTCCCAAGCCACGAGCACAGCTGGGATAGGATTATGGCTCAGGCAGTCTTGCTCCAGAGTCCACAGTCTCCAATTGTGGCCCTGTGGTACCCAAGTCTGAGTGCACCCCCACAGTCCATATTTGCCAAAGAACTTTCGGCGTGGAGTTTAGACAAACTGCTGTCTGTAAGAGGGCCAGTTCTCCCCTTCCATCCTCCTGATTTTCCTCCCCAGTATCTCTCCCCACAACACCTACATTCGAGATTTTGGATGATTTCAGCAATGAGCCTCAGAGGAAATAGTTTCTTTGTTAAAAGATGAAATAAACTTTTTAGGACCTCCTGATTATTTCCACACATCCAAAATCTCTACTACTCTCTGGATCTAAATAGAAACTGATACTTAGTCCTAATGCCTTTGTTCTGTACTTTCCTATCCTTATCTGTTATTAAACACAGCATTCACAAAAGTCCATACTAATCATCAGAAGAAATTAAAAGAAACACAGCAGTAAAAACAAACTAACATTGGCATTCGTTTATTCTGTATACACATTGACAGAGGAATTTTCATCTGCATTTTTCTTAAGCATACTAGCAAATATGAATGAACTCAAGCAAACAGACACAATTTTAAGCAAGTACAAAAAGCTTAGAAAAACTCAACATGCAATACTCATTCAGGAGAAAATTCTCCATGAGTTTCTGTATTTCTGCACTTCTGAGCAAAGGGGTTTGACAGCTTTCTGGACTATGTTCTCGTGAATGTCTATATAGCAAGCGGCCTGGGAAATTAGTGTCTTCTGTTGGGCAGAGGATATTTTTTTCCTGACACTACAACAAATATGGTGCCTCTCTCTGGGGCAAACATCAGGAAGGTTTGCTAGGAGTCTCCTTTAGAAGACTGTGATTTTGCTAAGCTCGGGGTTCCTCAGCTGGGACACAGGCCCACTGCATGTGGCATCGACCTGAACCCCCCTGCCCCCACCAGTGGCCTCGGTGGGCAGAGGGGATTGAAGGGCACGTGGAGCTCCAGGTGCATGAGCACCTGTCAGTCACAGTCAGGTGTCTCTGGCCTAGGGGCCGCCCGCCATCTGTAAAACTGTGCTGGGCTTCTTACCTTGCAAGGACCCTAACGTCTCAGGTCCTGACCTGTGCCTAACACAGTCCAATGCAGTGAGAGGTACTTTGTATCTGGCAAGATACTTTAATTATCCTGCATTGAAATCTTTATCTACTTCTCATAACCCTCAGCATTCTGGAAGAATGCATAGTGAAACAGAAGCTTATACTTGAACTTGACAAGAAATGACCCAGTGGCAATCACAGAGCAAACTTTAACCTAGAGAAATGTCCTCATAGGTGAAGCACCTGCCTGTATTCACTGGTATGAAATGACAAGGAAATGGCGGTTCTGAGAGACATCACAAGAGACAGGTTCTTAACTTTAATAAATAAAGACACCCCCCCACACACAGACATACACAAATCCCAACCTCAAAAGGAGCAGACCTCATATTTCCACTTAGTTTAACTACCACTCTGCGATTTATTAAAATCTCAAAACTTGGATAGAATCAATCACAACTTTCTAATTATTCAAGAGTAATTCATGTAATCATCATATATGTCATTTTCATAGCTAAGTCCTTCGCCAATACAGAGCCCACCACTCCTGGAGTCTCTGCATCTCTGCTTTATGTTTTTCCAGATCAGTTAGCACCTTCTTCCATACTTTGCATATTACTTATTTACTTATTATTTCTCCCTCTCTACTAAAATGCAACTAGTATAACCTCCAGAGCAATAACAAAATATAATACTTAGTAGGTACCCAATTAGTGATGAATGAATCAATAAGTATATTAAATAAACAAATAGATGTGTTAATTGATTTTTTCATAAAATTAGGGAAATACTGAAAAAATAATTTTACATTATACTTTACAAATTAAAAATGAGTCTTTCCCTATGTTACTAAGTATTCTTTAAAGCCATTATTTTCATGGCAATATAAAATTCCATTTTACTGATCTACAATAACTTAAATATTTCCTTAGGGTAGACACTTGGCTTTTAATCCAGTGTTTGATACTATAGATGATCCTACCATATATTCTAGTGACTATTAATCTCTGGCTATCATAACACTTCCAAGACAGGATATCGCCATGTCAGTTAACTCCTGATTATACAGTTCTACATGAAGAGTACATATCGTGACAGACCTGCTCTCCTTTTAAAAAAAAATGATAAAGTGTAATTATTTGTATTAGTAATATATTTTTTTCGTTTAAAAAATGTTCATCATATGAGTTTCTTGAAGAGAATTTTTTTAGCACACTATTATAATTTAGGAAAAAGAATTGAAACCAAACATTTCATAGTTTTATTATACCATTAGCTGTCCAAGTATTCTTGAAAGTATGAAGCCATACTTTACGGCATTCAAATGATCTTTCTGTATCATGTCTCTTTCCCAACAGTTTAAGTAATTGAACATTTAATTGTTAGCACAAAATTACCTTGGATTTTAAAACTGGAGTTCTTTTTCTCCTTGCTTAAAGTTTTAACTTGTTTTCTTTTTCCAGATCTATGAGAAAAAAATAAGCTTGAAAACCACTCTGTACCATGGAACTATTGAAGATCTTATACCGGTCCTTCCAATGTTTCTAAATTATACATTTGTTGCAATTAACAAGGTGGAAAGTGGGCATCACAATTGAAATAAACACACACACACACACACGCACTGAGATTATTACAGTAATTCATCATTATAGTTTCATCTCTCTTTTTTTTTTCCACTTTCAGATTGAGCCACTGTATCTGCAAAAATAAAAAATAAAAATGTGACAGCGGGCTCCACTTCATGTAAACCATGCTCCTAAGGTACCCAGGTCTCCCACATTGCAGGCGGAGTCTTTACCATCTAAGCCACAAGGGAAGCCCTCCTACTGTCTGTCTGCAAATAATGAACCATCTTAGATTCACCACTCTCGGAACTCAGATGCTTACTATTTTCCAAACCTATTACATTTTTTTCTAGACACTAAGAAGCACAATGGCTTTTAAAGGGGAAAGCAATCTTCCTGCAACCTGGGGCCTCAACTGAACACCTGTGACAACCTTCCAGGGGTCTCGGCGAGGAAGTTCTCTGGCATGGGTAATGGCACGTTTGAGGACTTGACGGCTTTGCCTGCCAGGAAACATGGAGGAAGGAGCGAGATGGTGTGATAACTCCAACAGCTAAGGATTTCACTGCCTTCTTACAAGCTCCGAGAAGACCCCTGACAGGAAGTGAGCTTCTTTGTGACAAAGATCATGGTAGCCTGGCCCCTTCTGTTTTCTTGACCACAGGGGCAAAGTCACTGCAACACACTAAATAGAAGAAAACACCAGCGCCAACACTAGTCAGTGGTCTGTGAGCTCGCTGCACTGAGCTGAGAGCCATGTGGGCAATATCTAACATGCACTGTTATAGTGCACTAATATACCCTATTATAGTGCACTAACACGCACTGTTATAGTGCACTAATATACACTATGATAATGCACTAATATACACTGATAATGCACTAATATATACTATTATAGTGCACTAACATGCAGTATTATATTGCACTAATATACACTATTATAGTGCACTAATATACACTATTATAGTGCACTAACATGCACTATTATAGTGCACTAATATACACTATGATAATGCACTAATATACACTGATAATGCACTAATATATACTATTATAGTGCACTAATATACAGTATTATATTGCACTAATATACACTATGATAATGCACTAATATACACTGATAATGCATTAGTGATAATATACACTAATATACACTATTATAGTGCCCTAATATGCACTATTATAGTGCAGAGAGAACTGAAGTGGGGTTCCTATAGATTAGGATTGACTAACTTTCTCTGTAAAGAGCCAGAGAGTAAATACTTTAGGCTTTGCGAGCCAGAAGGTCTCTGTCTATCTCTCAACTACTCACCTCTGCTGTTGCAGTGTGAAAGCTGTCAGAGACAAGTTTTATTGACTGTGTGCCAATAAAACTTCATTTATAAATCGGTGACCCACTGGATTTGACTCACAGGCTCTGGTCTCAGGGTCTCAGTTCTTGTGGCACAGCGATTAAGCGCAGGAAAATCGCCTCATTACTCAGGACCTTAGATTCACCATCTGTGCCGTTTATGGGATTCCTGGGTGGCTCAGACATTAAAGAATCCGCCTGCAATGCAGGAGGCCTGGGTTCAGTCCCTGGGTCGGGAAGATCCCCTGGAGAAGGGAATGTGTACCCACTGCAGTATCTGGCCTGGAGAATCCCAAGGACAGAGGAGCCTGGGGCCACAGTCCATGGGGTCGCAAAGAGTCGGGCACAACGATTTACAGAATTCTAGAGTCTTAATGTGCTAAAGAATACTGGCATGTATGTCCAAACACACAGAATAAGAAAATCACACATAGGTCTCTGAATATTTTTTGTTATAAACACACATGCGCACAGGGGTTTGATAAGATGCCGTATTTGATGTCTCTGCTTCAGCTACTCTAAAGGTAACTTTTGAGCATCCGAATGGAAAAAGGTGGCCTGAAGCATGGGTCAGTCAATCTCCAGCTTTATGAGCATGGATAAATCAGTTACTACCTTTGTGTCTCATACCCTTTTTTAAAGTGGAGATTACTTAACTACACAAAATTATTCAAACTGCATGTGTCACAGAGATGTTCAAATCTATGTGGCATCAAGTCACTCAGTCTCTCAGTCCACTCTCTCAGAAGCAAGAGTGTCCTGGTGTCCATCTAAATGTGGTGACTTAAAAACAAAGACCAACCATGAAAACCCCCTGAGCAGCAGACAAGCCAGTTCAGCCATGCAAAGAAAGCTTCATCTGGTTTATTTCACAAGGTGGCCTGGCCTGGCTCACTTCTTGCTTGCTCGCTGCTGCTGCTGCTAAGTCGCTCAGTCGTGTCCGACTCTGTGTGACCCCACAGACAGCAGCCCAGCAGGCTCCTCCATCCATGGGGTTTTCTGGGCAAGAGGACTGGAGTGGGGAGCCATTGCCTTCTCCACATTTCTTGGTTATGCCCCTGGAAATCACAAGCAAAACTTAACCCTTTCCTGAAACTGATACCAGGTAAGTACTAACCAATTCCCTATCATTTAAGAACATTTGAACACTACAGCCGACCATGGTGAAGAATAAATAATCACTGCTTTATCACCATATAAGCTGCTTTATGATCATAGAATGCTGAGCCTCATTTCAGTTTTGGTTTGAGAGCTCCTGGTTTGTAAACTGTCTTTTCAGTGTATACCGTAAAAGTTTACTAGTGACTATTTCAGTGGTTCGTTGGTTTTGCTTCTGTCATTTACGAACTTTTGACAGTTCGATGCCCCAGATTCTCATCAGCATCTCCAACAGCTGGAAGAAAAGCGACAGTTCTCCTGCGCAGTGTTTGCCTTTGCTGTAAGGACTTCCTCACTCGTTTCTGCAATTAGCGTTCTTTCTCACTGATCTGTTTTGGTATATTCTGGAGTTGACCCCTCATCTTCAGTTTTCCTAGAGCTCTTGTGTTTACGAGAGTGTTGTGAACAATTAAGAGAGACCTATAGATCAGCATGAGGAAGGGCGCATGATACTAGTCAAGTTGGAGCGTAAGGCAAGCAGGAGGGGGAGAAAGAGGAGGAAGAGAAAAAATAATCATAATAATCATTAATTATACTTATAATGTTAGTACCATCTATCATATAATTATTAATCATAATTATTTTCTTTCAATATTTACATTATAAACTGTGTACCTTCTTTTACAACCCTATATTATTACTGCTGTTATTTACATGGGTCCCTGTCACTAAGAACTGCATAGTCCCGTCCCTCCGCTGCCAGGCCTCCTGCCACGCTCTCAGACTCCCCTTGCTTTCTAACCCATCATTACACCTCTCACTTCTCTCTGTCCCCACGTATCTCCCACATTCTACAGCCAGATAGTGCAAACTTTCCCTCACTTTACTGTGCAGAGCAAATCCTCCCCCTTTTAAGATCTCCTTGATGTTTCCTTATAAGTCAAGGCGAACCTTGAGATATTTTCACTCTAACCCCAATTTAATCAGAAGCATTTGTCAGCCAAGAGAAAGCAGGAACTTCTGGGCACACACTCAAAAGCTCCGAAAGCAGGGGCCTGAACAGATATTTGCACACCTATGGTCACAGCAGCATGACTGACAGTGCTGTCGTTCAGGCGCAATGTCGTGTCCAACTCTGTGACGCCACGGACTGCAGCATGCCAGGCTCCTCTGCCTCCACTATCTCCTGGAGTTTGCTGGAATTCATATCCACTGAGTTGGTGATGCTATCTAACCGTTTTATCCTCTGTCTCCCCCTTCTCTTTGTGTCTTCGATCTTTCCCAGCATCAGGGTCTTTTCCAATGATCAGCTTTTTGCATGAGCTGGCCAGAGTATTGGAGCTTCATCATCAGTCCTTTCAATGAATATTCAGGACTGATCTCCTTTACAATGGACTGGGTGGATCTCCTTACAGTCCAAGAGACTCTCAAGAGTCTTCTCCAGCACCACAGTTTGAAAGCATCAAATCTTTGGTGCTCAGCCTTCTTTATGGTCCAACTTTCACATCCATACATGACTACTAGAAAATCCATAGCTTTGACTAGATGGACCTTTGTCCACAGAAGGAAATCTGTCTAGGTTGGTAATAGCTTTCCTTCCAAGGAGCAGCATCTTTTAATTTCATGGCTTGCAGGAACCATCTGTGGTAATTTTGGAGCCCCAAAAAATAAAGTCAGCCACTGCTTCCACCTTCTCCTTATCCATTTGCCATGAAATGACAATACTGGGATGCCGTGATCTTAGTCTTTTTTAATGTTGAGTTTCAAGTCAGCTTTTTCACTCTCCTCTTTCACGCTCATCAAGAGACTCTTTAGTTCCTCTTCTCTTTCTGCCATGAGAAGAGCCAAAGGCAGAAATAAGACACACATCCATCTATCGTGAATGGATGGACAGAAGGTGGTATCCACATATAATGGAACTTCATTCTCCCTTTAAAAGGAAAGAAATCTGACACATGCTTACAACACAGATGAGCCCCGAAGACATCTGAAGTGGAACAAGCCAGATACAACAGGCAAACACTGTGTGATTCCTTTCACAAAAGGTACCAAGTATTTAAAGGCATAGAGACAGGTTGCCTGGACTGCGAGAGAGAGAGGAAGAGAGAGAGAGGAATTGCTATTGAATAGCTTGCGGAGTTTCAGATTTGGAAGATAAAACATTTTTGGAGGTGTTCGGTGGTAGGATTGCACAGTGTGAATGTACTTAATGCCCTTAATACACTTAGAACAGTTAACACGGGAAGTTCTATATTATGTATATTTTAACATGGTTAAAAAAAGATTAAGCCACAAAAAGGCAATTGATTTTTTAAAAGCAAATGTTTTTGAATTCTAAGAGCCGGGCTCTTGAGTTTAAAAGCATACGCTCTAAAGGCCACAGTGTACAGAGGAGCCGCCACCCAAAGACAGATGGAGACACATGCATGCTCAAGTTAACAGCCTTTTCTCTCACTTCAAAAAACAAGACTCTTCTCTGGACTGAGGCAGGCGGCAGAAGGAGGAGGAGACAAAAACTTAGTGTTAGTCTGTAAATAATAAAGCTCAGGCTGAGTGGCAAGATAACCCGACGACCACGGGCTTTTTGGGGAAAGGAGAGAACAGGAGACAAGCTTCACCCCTCACCCCAACACCAGGCAAGGCCAGTAACACAGCAGGAGCCCATAGCCTTGTGCCCAGAGCCCGCTGTGGGGCAGGAGCCCAAGCCGCGTCTACGTGGGGTGGAGGGGGTGAGTCAGCCTCACAGAGAACCAGAGTGGTCAATGACCACCGTGCGAGCAAGGCTTCTCACACACACCAGGGGCGCCGACGCCCGCAGGGGACACAGGGCCCCTTCAGGGCTCTGCCTGAAGGCGAGATCTTCCAGGGATGCAGCGCGTCATGGGGAACGGACAGAATTTATTTATTTATTTATTTTTTCCATTTATTTTTATTAGTTGGAGGCTAATTACTTTACAATATTGTAGTGGTTTTTGTCATACATTGACATGAATCAGCCATGGACTTACATGTGTTCCCCATCCCGATCCCCCGTCCCACCCCCCGAATTTATTTTTAGGATCCTTCACAGCGTGTAGACATTGCTGGAAGCGATCGGCAGAGCCCCTGTGTTTTAGAACGGTGCTGTCCAGTGCAGCAGCCATTAGCCACATGCGGCTCTTGAAGTATAAATAAATTAAAATTAAACAATGAAATGGTCAGGCCCTCAGTTGCATATAGCCACATTTCAAATTCTCAGCAGTCACAAATGGATCCTGGCTACCCACTTAGAGCCGATAGGGACACAAAGTTCAACTGGACATGTGCTCTATACTGCAGCCTATGAAATGTGCAGTAGTCTTTTACCTAGAAGGATAAAGTACATTCCTTAAATCAAAAATACATCACTGCAAAAAATAAGTGCTAGCCATCATCTGAGTCTTCAGTGAAGTCATGATCTTTTTTGCCTGTGGATGATTTGAAAAACTGTGAGAATTGCTAAAATCTGACCCGGAGACACAAAGTGAGCAAATGTTTTTGGAAAGATGGTGCCCAGAGACCTGCTCAACAAGGGGCTGCCACAAACCTCCAATGTGTAAAAAGAACAAAAACAAGCCCCCACAATATCTGAGAAGTGTGATGAAACAATAGTGTATGGTAGTGTAGTGTGCCCACAGACACGAAGTTCAGGTTTTTTTGTGTTTTTTTTTAATGTGAAGTTTACTGCACACATAGCCTTATGCATTACAAAAGATAAAAGACACTTCCCTGAGACGGAACAGAATTCCCTTTTGTGTGAAAGTGACCACAGCACCTCATTTTTAAGATAAAATTGTGTCTTGATCCTCCCCTAAATGAAATGCCCAGCTGGGGTCTGGGTTATGGATGAAACTAAAAAATAGTTTCTCTGATGACTACTTCCAGCATACATCTTCTCACAAACACACAAAATAACACAAAGTAAAAGTGTGTACCTCTCTGAGCATAACCACACCCTCAGGAGCCACAAAGGACAAGACGGCCTCTGGGACTAGCTGGACAGTAGGGTCCCGGGCATCCTCCAAGTCGGGAAGCTCAACCTGGCCCTCGGGCAGCAGAGACTGAACGTTCTGGAACGTTCTGAGAATTCCACACCGAGTTCCCAGGTTCTTGCCTCCACGGGGCAGAAACAGAATTGGCAGCAGCTGTGCCGTCAAAGCCACACTCATCAGTTAACAGCTGTCCAAATCCAATGGCAGCCAAGGCTGTCACTGATAAAATAAACAGTTGTTGGGAGGGAGATGGTACCGGCTGGTGAGGTCACACAGCAGCTGGGGCTTGGGCGTGAATGAGGAGACGCAGGAAGGAAGGGGTGGTGGACTCCAGAATAAGCAACCTACCCGCCCTCCGTCTCCAACCTCCCCCTCAGGCAGGATCTCAGCGGCACTCGGAACTGACAGAAGGAGAGAAGATAAAAGGTCAGTCTCAGGGGGCTTGTTCCTGCTATACAGCCTCTATTTTGAGGATGACAGCAGAACTTAGAAATGAATGATAAACCTCTAAATCCACTGGCAGGCTGCATTGAGGGATTTCAAGCTGGACTGGGAATCTGAGAAATACAGCGCTGGTCAATTAGCCAGTCAGCTAGTCAATTGCAGAAGAGGGTGCGGCACACGAGTCCCTGGAAAAGCTGAAGCTGCCTGCGGTCCCCATCTACTTCCGAGGGAGGGACCATCCTTCCCAGCACCAACAGCCTCTGTGCAGGGGAAGAAAAGACAGAAAGAAGGGGGCTCGACAAACGTAAAGTGACTTCATTTCAATGGCCTGGGATTCCCTGCTCGGCTGGAAGCCACAGCAGCTGGGCCCCAGGTCACCGTTAGCTTTTTCAGGTCCATGCTCATTATGAGGTACAGACAGAAACTGTACATTAAGGAACCTTAAAAAAGATACAAGTGAACTTATTTGAAATAGACCCTCAGACATAGAAAACAAAGTTATGGTTATCACCAAAGGGAAGAGAGGAGGAGGAATGAATTAGGAGTCTGGATTAACATACACAGGCTACTACACGTGAAATGGATAACCAGCAAAGACCTGCTATATAATAGCACAGGGAACCCTACTCAGCGTCTTGTAATAACGTATAATGGAAAATAACCTAAAAGAGAACATACATAAAACTGAATCATTTTGCTGGACACCTGAAACTCACACAGCATTATGTCAACTACACTTTCATAAAATAAAATAAACATTAAAAATGGAGCGAGCATCTCTTACGCCAGCGAGGTTTTTTTAGTTTTTGCACTTGATTACTTTACAGTTCAATACATTTGAATTTCAAATTTGTCTTCTATCTCAAAGGGCAGCTAATTGCAAGAATTGGGTTGACATGAGCCTCTCCTTAAACTCAGAGGGCCCTAGTGTACAGAGATTGGGAAGAGGCCTAAAAGCAGAGCAGCTGCCCGTGGCCACAGGGCCACGTTAGAGTTTTTAAGAAGGAAAAGTTTAGGGAAGATTTTTAAATGGCTTTTTCTTTTCAAAAATTGAGGAATAGAGCCATATACTTGTGGGACGTGAAAACAAACCTTGGAATGAAAGGCAACCGTGGGTTCGGTTTTGAGGAAGAAAAGGAAGGGAAATGCCATTCAGTGAGCACCTACTTACCTGGGACTGTGCTCAGCACAACAGTATAAACCATTCTCGGATTGGGAATTTGCTTATTACTATTTTAGGCACTTTTATCCTTATTTTAAACATAAAGAATCAATTGCTAAGGGAGCTGAAATAAATGGACTGAAGACTACACCTGCTAAATGGCAATGCTTCAGTTTGAACCAGATCTTCTTTTTCAGAGGTAAGCTGCAAATTTGCAAAAGAACTAAACAGCCAGAGGTGCCAAGACTGATTCGTTCAGCCCATACTAAGTGGGTGTCTACCGTGTGTTCACCAGGACTGTGGGAAACTTGTCAAATAGAGGATGTGGAGAACATGTCAAATCTAGAGAAAATCTGCTCGCTCTGACAAGTCTACAGCCTCCACCTACTTCAGAGGCAGTGACAAAGAAAGAAATTAACGTCTTCACTTTTCAATCCTCAGAGGCCTACTTAGGATGCTTCATTTCCATATTTCATCTGGGAATGTCTTCAGCCGGCATTTGGAGACAACAGCCTCAGTTCAGGGATTGCACATACGAGGCAAGGGAAAGTTCTGGGTTTCTGTGTATAAGGACGGCACTGCCCAGGCCCACGCTGCCAGACTCCTCGGCCTGTTGAAGTCAGAGCCGGGCAGAGTGACGCCCGTCCAAAGTGATTCTGTGAGCTGCCATTCATCCTAGGTTACTGAGATCTTTTCAACTGGCAATCAATGTCCCAATGACACATGTAGTTTCTCATTTCTAAGCAAAACAGAACAGTCAAGAAAAACAGCAGGTGTGGCCAGATCTAAATATCTCAATATTATATTTACAGCCAATCCAAATGTCCAGAATAATTCTCATTATCAAAATCCTGATATGGCTCTTAAGCAAATTACAGTCATTTTCTCAGTACTAATCTTTTAAACGGATTGCCTAAATAGCATGTAATAAAAACTACACAAAACTTCAACATGAATGTCTTCTTATGATCTTACTGGAAATCATTTCCAGACCTCCACGTCTTTGGCAGAAGAGGCTAAATGGTAGTGATGAATCAATCCTGTTTTCCTTCCCTCCCTCCCTTTTTTCTTTCTTGCTTCCTTTCTTATTTCCCTCCTTCTTTCAATTACTTACCACCACAGATGCAATGAATGCTTACTTTTCAAGAGCATTTTGGGGGTTTCCCTGGTGGCTCAGACAGAAAAGAATCCACTTGCAATGCAGGAGACCCGGGCTCGATCTCTGGGTTGGGAAGATCCCCTGGAGGAGGGCAAGGCGACCCACTCCAGTGTTCTTGCCTGGAGAGTCCCACGGACAGAGGAGCCCAGCAGGCTGTTACAGTCCATGCAGTCACAAAGAACGGCACACGACTGAGCAACTAACAAGATGGATGCAACAAACGCTTATTTTTCAAGAGCCTTTTAAGTTCTGAAGACTATCAGGTAATACAGCTAATTATATAATACCCATTAACACAGCTGAATTCCTAAAACAATGATTTTGTTCCATTTTCATTATCTATAAGTCTGTTTCTTTTACCCACAGAATTAACTGTGGTAGTAAAAAGTGCTACTTCTTCTTTATCCCTGACTGGCTGAACAAAATAATTTCTTAAACTACATCACTTTTCATTCTAAATGTAGTTAAAAAAAAAAAAACAAGTTAACAACTGCCTACAGTTAACTGTAGATTTTATGTGCTATAATATTATATGTCATCCATTACCAATTTTATAGGCTGAGCAGAATAAAATAATCATTGATCTTTCTCATCTGAATGCTATTAAGAAAAATGGTGTAAACTTCAACTGATTAAGTTGTTACTTAAGACGCTTTATTAAAATTTATTTTAAAGTGATTTTTCTCATTAAGACTTGACAAATCTGGAGAGCACTTCATTTAATCTCCTTTATGAGAATGTTTTGCATGCAAAGGACCCGAAGGGTTATGAGACTCCAGAGAGACTTGGGCGGTCTGGAGTTGCTGAGACCTGCAGGCAGTTACTTCTTGCGGATCTGCTGTGCAAATTGCTTCTCCCACAAATCAAGGTGGGAAGAGAAGGCAGGGAATCACAATCTTGCTTACAGTTTTCGTTTGCTATAAACACTGATACAAAGATTGCCAATTACACTCTGTGAGAGTCTTACCATCTTTTATGATTACTTAATCAAAATGTCCCAAAACAGGAATTCAGCAGACTTAAGGATGTGACAAAAGAAGTGGAAAAGACCCATCAAGAAATAACAGAGAAGAGACTGTCATTGCCATTCTCACAACGACTCCAGACCAGCACAGTGTTAGCTCACTTAACTATGTGGTATCTCATTTAACTCACAAATAACCCACAAGGCGATTAGTAGCATCAGCTCCATATTACAGATGAGGAAAGCGAGGCATAAGTAGATCATGTAATGTCCCCATCACTGCATATTTAGCTGCGGTGCACCTAGAACACTGACCTCAGACTCTGACCCCACGCCCGCAACCTGCAGCTCTAGGCCGTGCTCCTTGACGTGGGGTTCACAGCCCGGCGGCACCAGCCTGGCCTCTGACTCCGTCAGAGTCGGTGCTCTGCTTTAGCCGCACACTGGCCCCGAACCACGCACCAGCAATGTGGTCAATAACAGTGTCTGTTACATCATGTACTTCCTTATTGCTTACAACTGTGAGCACATGCACTGCTTAGCTGCGGGCTAAGCAAGGTTAGAAGGCAAGCAAGAAGAACGTTCTGGAAGAAAAGAGCTCTATGTGGGCAGCGGCAGCGGGTGTTTGGCACTGTCGTTTATAAACATACCGTGAACACCATGTTCTCTTGGAGAACGGTGAAGGGAGTGGTCGTGAATTCACGTCCACAGAAACTACTTAGCGGGCTGACATCATGGAATTTTGCTGAACTTGCCTCAGAAGGGTTGTCCAACCACATCAAAAGCTTTCTCACCAAAAGTCGCCCTTAACATCCTTTCTGAGGACATATTGAAAGAAACCTATTCCTTAAGAGTTTCCATTTATACAGGAGGAATGTTGGCAAAACAGCTCTTCAGAACTAGAAAATATTTAGAGTTTCAGTCCTGTTACTGTATATTTGAAATAGCTCAAAGACCAAGTTTAATTAATTTATATTGAATTTAAAATTGGATATAGCTCTTTTATCATAAATGCAAGCTAGCTAAAAGAGAATGAGAAGGGATGGAATATTTTGTCCAATTCTTGGACATTGTCCAAATAGAAGCCCACTGATTCATTAAAAGGAATCAATCTGTCAAATTAATAGTATTGAACTTACTACTAAAATTACATGAAGTGTTTTGGTTTCTTTTGCCTGCCTCCTCATCTAAACTATGAGCTTTATCCTTCATTTCTTCTAAACATTCCACAAACATTTATAAATTCTGCTATTTTCATCTCTGAGAGTTATGTTAGTCACATAATAAATGCCTATCATTCATAAATCAAAATAATTTCTTCCAGTTTCCCTAGATCA